GTTTGCAGTCTAGATCTGTTAATCCTAACACAACCTAACCTTAGGTTCACCATATGTGAAGCTACGAATATCATGTAGGCAGAGCCCAGGTGGTGGAATTTGCTATATAATCCAGCCAACTCTGCTCCAGATGCTTTTTCATTTATTTTTTGTTGCAGAGTGCTGGAGGGTCCTCCGTGTGGTATTATTTGATAATTTTTTCCCATTACTTTGCAATCTTCCCAGTAGCCCATATCTCATCATTAAAAGTCTAAAAATTGTAAGAGGAGTTCCTCCGAGATGTCTTCCCTTCAGATTTAATTGAAAGAAGACTGCAGACATGGCCAACCACACACGTGGGTCACCACATTAACTAAAATGAGTCTAGGAATCCTGCACTAGAGTTACAATGATTTTGCTGAAATAGTATTCTTCCTGGGAAAAAGATCACATTCTTTCCCATCCAAATTACATGAGATTAGTTAGAAGAAAATAAAGGAGACATTTTCAATGTAGTGTTGTACCAAACTAGACCTTGTTCATATCGAGCTCTATTGCTACTAACACCATCTATAATGCAAGGCAAAGCACTATTTTTGGAAAATAGCAGATGGCAATTAAACTGGGGCCACTGGAGACTAGGGTCTGGATTTCTCTCAAAGGTCAGCACCCTCCTTTGAGAGCCTGGACCTTGGAGTGAAAATGAATGATACAAAATAAACAAGGACTTTGCTGCTGCCTCAGAGAAGATGTGGATTTCAATGAATGTTCAGGCCCATAAATTACTTCCTCCTAGATGTCCTCACTTCTTATCACACCATTTGTCTTTGCGATAGGCAGAGCAAGCAGAGAAAGCAGACGTGTGTCCAAACAGTGTGTTCCTGCAGATGCTCACAGGGATGTTGAGATGGCACCCACCGCTGCGCAGTTGAAGCCCTGCCTTTTTTAATTACGAAGCTGTTTGTGGAATTTTTTTATATAGTAATTTTATTAAAAATTGCAATGAAAAAGATAAAAATGAACGCAAA